TTTTAAAATTTATTTTCAAACACAAAAGGAGAAGACTGAACAATGACTATGTAGACATTTAAAATTTTTAAATTTATTAGAACACACCTTCCTTTGGGTGAAGCCCTACAGGGTACAGCTGCAAACATAATTACTGGCCCAGTATCTATGTCAGGATCTTAAATTAATTTGAATGTAGTTAGTTTTTCATTATTTTCTTGCCTGTCATACAGGCCTACTTATCTTCACACAATCATAAGAAAAGCATTACTAAAGTCCAGCTGGACAGAAGGCAACTTAAGCTGGACAATTTGCAAATTGTTCTTTGTCTGGGTGATTCAACCAATGCTTTAAAGGAAAGTTACTTCTCCCTAAGCTAAGAAGCACTTCATGATCTAGGTATCATAAACATAGGAACCATCTCTCACCACCAGGTGTATTTTACTTTGTGCTGTTTATTTTATTTTCTTTGCCAATCAAAAACTAGAAGCTGGAGTGTTAATGTTTTGTTCTTTAAGAAGGGCCTACAGTGAAGGTAATATCTTGAAAAAAGAGAACTTGCAATAACTGCTTTTGCCACTCTTGTTTCAGCCCTAATATTCATTGATGCCAGAAAGCCCTCACACTCTGCATTTATGTGCATTTATGACTGTTTTATTTCAGAAACATGAACTTTAAATGATTTTGCATAAGCATTTTGTCATATGTACCAATAATTATTTTGTAATACGTGTAACTCCATCTATTCTGTAAATGCACAGGTGGAGCTAGGCATTAGTAAATAAGCACAGAGGTTTGGGAACATTGCCTCTCTGATATGAAATCATACAGTAACTGCTGGTAAAATAAGATGGGATAGTATATCTGCATTATTTAATGTGTACTTAATCTGTACATTATTTAATTTAAAGTACTGTATGGATATTGCTCTGTTTTCCTACCACTGTCCATAGACATGCTGGTAAGATAATTGGTTTCAGGGAAAATTGGCTCTGATGTGTGTGTCTCTGTGTGTGCCATTCGATGGACTAGTGTCCTTTCCAGGGTGTACCCTGCCTTGCTCACATTGCTTGCCTGGATAGGTTTTGGCTCCTCTGTGACACTGAATTGGATAAAGAGAAAGGAAAATGGACAGATATATAGGTATTACATTCTCTAAGGCTAGAACACTTGATTATTTTGCTGATTATTTACTGTACATACATTGTGAGTTAATTTTAATTTGTGCGTTTAATCTCACAGTTGCTGAATTAGAAATCCCAAATTTGATGTGGATTTTTTAAATTAATTTATTATTTTTAAAAGTTTTTTTTTTCAACCAAATTGATTGATTTTTCTGAAGCAGCAAACCTCTTATTGGTTAAGAATAATTATTATGCTTGTTGTGAAAGAAATCAACAAATTACATTGCACATTAAATCTTATAGTCAAATATATGTGCATTAAGTTTATTCTGCTGATGGCTTTTCCAGTGAATGATGATTAGGTTGAATGGGCTGCTGCCATATAAATAATGATATGGACTTAGATTGTGCATTTGCTTATTTTGCTTGTTCTCCCTGTGGCATTTGTGGGTCGGGATCTTAATAAAGATTTGTGCTGACTTTGTTTGCTCTGTTAGTATCTTGCAAAGTCATTTGCAGTTTTGCTATAAAGTTGTTACTGCAGTGCAATTCTGTAAGATAATGAAGAGCCAGTGGATAGATTTACAGGCACTAGTGGGAATATACCAGTTTTTTTTAAAGAAATAGTGTCTTCAAGTAGTATTTTTTGCATGTGTTTTAGAACTAAGCACACTTTAGATTATGCTGATTTTTAGTCTGTGAAAGATATCCAAAGAAAAAAAATATTTTTCAGAAATGTCGGCCGAATGTCATATCATGACTACTAATGCAGGGCTAATCAACACATGGCCCTTTAATTCACTCCATTTCGGAATGTCATTACAACCAACTCCTAAATTGCTTGGTTGATCTTACTAATTACTGTATGAGTTAGGTAAGGAGCTGGTTGTGTCATAAGGAATAAAAGGTTAGTTGCACTACAGGATTTGCAGAGTGTTTAAATTTAAACCCACTTGGCTTAATGTCAGACCCGTTGAAGATATTTTTTCCAATTTTTGCCAAATTTGGAATTTTCCATTTAGGTTCTGTACTCCCACATAGACACTGGGCACCAGTTAAGTGGTGTAGAGTGGATGTAATTCTCATATCTTAAGGGGATGGGAGACACACAAGCTCTTCTGGGGCCCCAGCATCGGTGTGAAATGATATTTGCTTGCCTTTAGAAGATCTCAACTTTGAATAAATCTTTCTACAGTATGTTACACAACATTGATCTGTTTTTAGTTGTAGCTCTATTTTAATGGGCCACTGTCTTAAAAAATCTATACTTATGTGTCAATTTATTCAATACCTAAGCATGACTTTAGAATATAAAAAATGTTACACAGAGGTGATTCATACAATCTACAGTAGCTCATGTAATTGCTAACAGCTAATTGATCTGAGGATCTCATTCAATAATTTCTGCTTAACAGAATGGCTACCTAACTTGTTCCAGACTCCGACAGCCTTTTGTGTCTTTGTGCATACAAAATGCCTGCAGTTCTAAATGTATTCCCCCCACAGTTTCCACTACTTTGTGTTATAGATGATGTGGATAAAAAATCCTGAGAATTATTTAAATATGTCTGCCAAGCTCTTTTAAAAGCATATATTAAGCCCTTCCTAAACCATCCTCTGTCTTAAAAAACATGAATCTTCCCTCAAAATTTAAAAACTTCTTCAGCTATATTTTCTTCCTGTGTCAAGTTCTGTTTTTTTACTGCTTGCTAATGGCCGGTTTATCTTTAGAAATGTTCCGCAGATGAATAACAGTATTTTTTAAATAGCACTTAGGAATCTTATACTTTTTAATTGGAGTTCTTGAAAGATGGAAAAAGCAGGAAAAGGTTATCATGTTAGGTATGTTTCTGCAGCACAGCAAACTTCAAACAAAATTCCAGGACTCATAAATTTGATTGTAATGCAAATATTTATCTCTAACAGGCATTGTACACGTTTGGAATTTAACTGACAGCCAAATGGAACATGAAAAGATTGTGTTTAATTATCGTAGGAGGGGAGCTTATCTTTCATTTTGGCTGTAACTTTTGAAAGAGTCATTAAACTGATTGAAAAAGTATTTTCTTTTTATAGGATCCACATCATTACAGAGCTGTTCAAAGTGGAAATGTCACAATCCACAATGTAATGAAAAAAGATAGGACAGTTAATGCTTCTTAAAATTGAAAAAAAAAATACGACAAATAAAAAACTGTGTAGCACAGATTTCAATTGTTTTTTCTGGATTTCTGCATTGCAACATTTTGGCTGAAAGCACTTGATTTAATCTTTATATTTTTCTATGCACTTTTTTAAATATTTGTTTTATAGAGAATTTTAATAGTATAGCATTTTCTGCTCTGATAAGCACTTAATAACATTAAAAATGTGTACTTATTTAATTTGTATATTCTCTCCAAAACACATCTTCCTGTTTGAAGCCTGTTATTCACTTAATTCATAAACATAAATAAATTGTATTCCTCAAAATCATTAGCTGAATGATTATACTCCCAATCTTCTAATAAATGCCTTAAAATCACCTGCTATTTGTCTTATAACACAACACTGTGTTCCACCTTCCTGTTGCAATTTCATAGTGATTATGTTCAGACCAAGGTCAACATTTTGGTCTGATTGCCACTTTTGCTTTCTTATAAGATGCAATTCTGTGATGACTTCCCCTGTCATTTTTCTGTCATTCCCAAGTAAATTCTTTTCAGTAAGTAAGATTTCTTCTGATCTTGCATAAAGAGTTTCTAATTTGTATTTTGTATCTGACATTACTCAGAACATTCTGATATGTTTGTTGCAGCAAGACATCTGTTGTTGACACATTTTTACATGCAAATAACTAAGTACAAGGACTTTCTGAGCATCTGTAGAGGATGTTATAGCACAAACATAAATGAACTCCCTAACTTTGAATGTAAAATTTCTCAGTTTTCAG